GGGATGGGGAGTGGGGGTTGGGTGTGTGTGTCTTCCATGGTGTTCAGACGCCTCTTTGGAAAACGAAATGTAGTATGTCGAAGTCAGTAAAATTATCTAGAGAGAAGATTTTGATATTTTGGAACCCTCCATTTTAAAATTCGGGATCCGCCCTTGCAATGGATTCATCAGAGAAGGCCTCGTCCACACGGAGGCTGACACCTCACTCCTGTGCCTGAAAAACCCTTCAATCCACAGCCCATGAATGTCTCGCCTTATGTCTCGCCATCAGGTGTGCGGCATGACATACCAGCTAATGTGACCAGATCTGGAAGAGGCTCAGTTTAACCGGACAGACTTTGTAGAAAAAGAACAGTAGTCAGAAACGTTATTGTTTCATGTTAGTAGTTAACTGTTAGATATATAAATCTACATTAGGTTTGTTTGCAGCAAAAGTCACTGAGGATCAAATGTATGTTTACTCCAAAAATGGAAAGGACAACAATTATTCTTATACTACTGGCTTTTAATGTAAGACAACTTTCAGCTTGCTGTCTTTCTTAACAAAAAGGAGGTGTGGTAAGAGGTGAACCCTAAATGGTCCAATCCTTATAGGCCTCAGCCTATAGGAGATAGTATAAGAGAGAAAACTCTCTCAAGCACGCAGCTGAGTTAAAACACGTGGTACCAGCCACACGCTTGTGTATAGCTACAGTTATAGTCATTAAACATAGTTAATGAACTACATGTGTGATCTAAATGACTTGAGGGGGCACGGGTGGCCCAGTCGTCTATGGCGCCGCGACTCGCTGTGCAGAGTTGCGTCCCTTGGGCACCCCAGAAACCTATGATTGTGGGTTCGCCCCGGTTATGTTTCTAGGTTTGTCTGCACCATACACCAGCACCCGTGGGTTAAACTGAAGTGGTTAACGTCTGAGAATTCGGGCTTTCCTCCCACATTAAGCTGACACGCTGCGAAATAACTGTAATACTGTTAAAGCGACGTTAAACCCAACTCACTCACTCACTCTAAATAATTTCCCCGACTGGTGTGATAAGTTGTTCATTCTATAAATCCCTGTGTCCGACCCAGCCTTGATTTATTACAAGCATCTTGTTGGATCGGGTGTTCAGGCTGTTTTCTTGACCAAGTGCGAGCCATCGTGTTCCAATAGGATTAATCTTCATGCATCATGGCTTCGCTGATCACTGTATTGTCAGTTCCAGATTTGGGCGTTTGACCGCCGTATGGTAGCAGGAGTATTGCTGAGTGCCGTGTTCGGCAACACACACATTTGCCCTTTCATGAAAATTACGGCATCCTGACACATTTCGCGGACACATTGTGTCATCACTGGTTTTCGGTGATCCAATTATATGATTTTCACTGTTGTTTTTCCTTTTTACGCTTTCCGTAAAAGGTGACTATGCTTGTCGTTAAAGGCGACTAACGGGATCGGGTGGTCAGGCTCGCTGACTTGCTTGATGCATGTCATCGTATCCCAACTGCGTGGATCGATGCTCATGACATTAATCACTGGATTGTCTGGTCCAGACTCGATTATTTACAGACCGCCGTCATATAGCTGGAATATTGCTGAGTGCGGCGTTAAACAACAAACCAACCAACCAACCAACCAACCCAATGACATCGTTTTCGGCAGAGACGGATTATTCTCTGGCGTTGGTGCTATATATTTTCAAGAATCAGTGTGATTACCTTTTTGGACCCGTGAAGATCTTGGTTAGAATCGGGTGGTTAGGCTCGCTGACTTGGTTGATGCATGTCATAGTATCCCAATTGCGTGGATCGATGCTCATGATGTCAGTCACTGGATTGTCTGGTCCAGACTGGATTATTTACAGACCGCCGTCATATAGCTGTGATATTGCTGAGCGTGGCGTTAAACAACAATCAAACAAACAGTTTCTTACAGGTCGATTTATAGTTTCACTCGTCGCTGCTAAAAACTAATATGTAACTAACATTAGGAATATATGGGAGTAATCAGGTTTATAATCATATATTCTGTACTTGTGATTAAAAGAAATGTTTCGTAGCATAAAACAATATGCAAAATATATTGTGGGGAAGTAGATACCTTCGATAATGACATTTATAGTTCATCAGCAATGGCAAATCTAATCTTATTTCCTTACACTTTCTCTTCAGGCTTTCAAGCGTGGGTTGACAGATGACGGACGAACTACATACACGCATCGGGAGACTAGATTTGCAGTGCAGTGTATTATGGGGGTTAACTTTCCAGCGCCTTTCCCGTAAACGATCCGCATTGGATTTGCCGTCTTCCGAAGGAAGTTATATCAAAATGACAGATTCCAAAATTGCTTTAAGCAAATGGAAAGAAAAGAAATCGGAATATTGATCTTGTCTGACTCAATAATTGAAAAATACGAAAAGATGTTTTTTAAGATGGGTTTCAGAAAGTACGAAAGTATTCAGTCACGAACGGATGACATGTTTGAAGGTTAAACTAAATGAAACGACAGAGGAAATGAAGACCTTTGGTGCGGTTGATATTAATCTTTATTCTTTCAAGGAATAACTTGCAATGATTCCGGCGTAGAATAGGCCCCAAGTAATCTATGAATGAAGTGGTCAGGTTCAGTGACTTTTCTGTGTGCAGGATATCGTGTTCTGATGGCGTTCCACAAAGCGATCGTAGCGCTACGACTGTCGTAAGTCCATGTTTAAATATACGGTTCCAAAATACGAGCATCGGGTCACTGCATTTTCTCGTTTACCGATCACTTGATTGTCTGGTTTGTTTACAGGCCGCTGTCGCACGGCAGGAGTACTTCTGTGCGGCGTCAGGCAATGCCTACTTACTTTTATTCATCTTATTGTGAGAATGGCGGGTGCTTCTGGTAGGGAAGGACATGCTTGCCCTTTACACGAACACCTGGTGTCATCACTGCTTTTTGGTGGTCCATTCATATAATATTCACAGCTATTTTGCCTTTACGACAGATGGAATCTGTTTCGGCGGATAATCTGAACTTATTTATTCTCTATATTCGCTCCGTCATGTTCAAGCCGCTGTGGTGGAGCTGGATAGCTATTGCGTCGTAAAAAGCATTCAAACTATTGTTTCACCTGTTTTAATGATAATTCCACAGAGGTGGGACAGTTTTTAACTGTATAAGCTATAAACAATCCCGTTAATTCCAAGCCCTTGATCTTTCGAAATTACATCGATATACCTGTATACCGGGACAAGTAGGTTTTTGAGTAAACCCGGACGGCGACAATGATTCTGCCTGGCCCCATCAATAGTAACATCGTCTGTAAGACGCTATTATGTTTCCCTGTTAAAAAAACTCAGATTTATCACACAGCTGCCAGCTGTTGAAAGGTAACAGTTAACCAGGCGTGTTCGTATTGCTGACATTCTCAATTAAACTGGAAAGGTATGTGCATTGTACATAAACATATTTTGCATAAGCGGTGATTTCCGTGACGATGATGTCAACATTATAAACAAACCGATAAAATCATAAATGACCATCGCTGATGGCATCACGTAAAGCATTTCGATAGCACCATGCATGTCATCGTATCTCGATTACATGGATCGATGCTAATGAAATCCATAACTGGATTGTCCGGTCCAGACTCGATTATTTACAGACCGCCGTCATATAGCTGGAATATTGTTGAGTGCGGCGTTAAACAACAAACAAACAAACAAATAATCGAGTAAGTCAGAAATAATACATAAGGTCATAACATGCAATTTATGCTTTAATATTTCAGTAATCAAGATATTCAGTACATAACCGTATGTCGAAATATTAGCTACTTTAGAAGCCCATTAAAAATGTCGACATAGTTTTTTTTCAATCACGTCCATTGCATTAGCCAAAGTGGCAGAATCTGTACAGCGTGCTAGAACCCGACAGCTGTGCAAGGTGTGATTGACAATGGTTTGACAATAGCACGATATAGAGAGATCTTCCTGATTCACGGTGACATATGTTCTGATGGATCAACGGTGTCATGCTTTATAACGTCCAAAAAGTAAATCACCCGTAGAACATATGTTACAAATTATTGGTACCTACCTACACCCGCGTTTTAGTAGAACGAGCAGTGGACCAGTGAAGACCCGGGTAGGGAATAGGTCATCAACAACCCATGATTGCCGTTAGAGGCGACTCTGCTTGTAAGAAGCGACTAACGGGATCGGGTGGTCAGGCTTGCTGACTTGGTTGATGCATGCCATCGTATCCCAATTGAGTAGATCGATGCACATGATGTTAATCATGTCCAGACTCGATTATTTACAGACCACCGTCGCATAGCTGGAGTATTGCTGTGTGCGGGGTAAAACAGCAAACAAACAAAAAAAAGCTACATTCATGAAAACAATGTTCCTCAAATAAAGTGAAACTATTCTCACCTCTGCTGACACCCTACCCTGAATCAAAATGTTGAAAATTAATTTGTTAACATAACATACGCATGTGGAGGTAAACAAAATGTCAAATAAATGTAGACATAAACATTATATTGCATAAGTACACTGTGTCATACCAATAAAATATGATACTTGTGTTTCCGTGTCAGGCGCTCGTCACCAAGGGGATAAAACAAGGACTGGTCGTCTTGGAGTGTATCCATGCTACAACTACGGCACGGTATCTCAGTGGGCTAGCACCTTAAAACCGACATAAGTCCCGGACAAGTAGAAGCAAGCACACACACACACACAGACACACACACACACACACACACACACACACACACACACACACACACGCACACACACACACGCCGCTAAATAAGTGCAATAATCTTGAACGCCACGTTAAACTCCCTTTCACCTCACCTCACCTCACCTCACCTCACCTCACCTCACCTCATTTGGTTTCAACACCTCACCTCACCTCATTGTTTTAACGTATGCGTAGCGTGACACAACATAACTATAAAACTGTATCCCCAGGAACACGTGCTACCATTTGACAGTACACCGGCAGGAAGTCATGTGACCAGCAGGAAATCATGTGACCTCACTATGCTGTTGGATCAATAGCGACTCCGAGTGAGAGTTGAGAGAGACAGAAGCTGTTGCCAATGGAGGCAGAGTGATTTGATAACACCACACACATCAAGACATGGACGCTCTCAAGGTGCTTCTACTACCAGTCTTTGGTGTTCTCCTTGCATCTTTCGCAGGACTTTCACAGGTAACTTTTATTTATGTTTCCTTTCAAGTCCATTTAAGCCAAGACCTTTGAGAATGATTCGTATTTAGACAGATGATTGCATTGACTGTTCAAGCCGGAATAAGAACAGCCACTTTAATGATCATGTGTGGTAAGTATAAGTACTCCTAACTGAAGGCTATGACAAGGATGTTGATGAGAAACATATATGAAACCAACATATCCATATTAGTACTGTTTTCACCATCAGTTTTACCTAAGATAAGATACGATGCACTCAGGAGAGTATGCTTGTATTACAAACTGAATAAATTACCTTTTAGCATCTGATCATACACCTCATGAACACACAGAAAGTAAGCTTTCTCTCGAGACATTTGGGAACGGATTGTACTACAAACCAACCTTCCTGATCAAATCTACACATAATGTCAACATACGTTATGTTAGGAAAACAGAAGAGCTGTCGTGAGAATGATCTACGTTTAAATTCCACGAGACTCCATAATGATAGAGCAGTTGGTATCAGAAGATAAAGTCAATCTCTCGAGAGTTATCACACTACTATTTGGTTTATATGCTGATGGGGATTACTTTGAAATTGCTGGTACATTTCTCACTTTAAAAGAGCCATTATGGCTTCTAATCATAAACTCATATTGTATTTGTTCTTACGCGGGTAATGAATTCCCGAAGAAGACAAGAATGTAATATAATTGTATAATCCTTTTTTAACTGTTGTTCGGACTGATCGTTCAAAAAACACAAACCTTGTGTATAAATCTGGCATTCGGGGGCGTGAAGCACAGCAGATTGAACCGAAGATTGAACTGATGAACACTGTACCAATCCTTTCCTGACCTTTCAAATATAGGTTTAAATTGAGATATACAATGTCATGAAGTTCACACGAGTAAGCGGGGCGGTCGGGTAGCCTAGTGGTTAAAGCGTTCGCTCGTCCCGCCAAAGACCCGCGTTCGATTACCGACACGGGTACAATGTGTGAAGCCCATTTTTGTGTCCCCCGCCGTGATATTGCTGAAATATTGCTAAAAGCGGATTTAAACCATACTCACTCACTCACTCACACGAGTAAGCAACACTGCATTATAGATTTAAATAGGGTACATACATTACGTGTTTTCAGATTCACGGGAGTCATTGAGTATCCGGGATGCGCGGGAATAGAAAGCAGCGCACAATTACATTCACTTTGCAATTAACGTCGATGTGTCACGATATGATAAATACAATTAACGTCGATGTGTCCCGATATGATAAATACAATGCTCATCTTGGCAATATCTGAAACATGCTGTGTAATCACTTCAATATGAATTATTATTATTAATTATGATTTGGGTCATGCTAAGTATGTTTAATCTAAACACTTAAAACAACTGGTCATTGTTCTTGTCCTTGTTTAGCAGTTTCCCGTATGTCCAAGGCACATATAAATAATTAAATATACAGTAACACATTGAATTTGCTGTGCTGAATAACACTGGCCACGGTCGGGATCACATTAAATGCATACAAGTAGCATTATACTTAACGTCAATCCAAGTGTACAATAGGCTTTATAATATTTATCTATGCGTAGTATCATACCATTTGCGGCATACCAACATACAGTAAAGTATGGGACTTGTTGTTACCCTGTCTGGCGCTCGCCCTTAAGGGGACGAAACAAGGACTGGTCGGCTACAGAATACTGTGTCTAAGTGCGTGCATGTACTTTGCTATGTAAGTGCAATACAATTGAATGCGGCGTTTAACCCATGTCACCGCACCTTTCACACCATGTATCACGTGACAGGGTAGGTGAAGTGATAATACAGATAATCCTACCCAAGCTCATTGTTTTAATGTAAAATCGTCACTTACTTGTGTGTTGAATATGCAAATTTATTGTCCTTAAAGTGAGATTATTTCCGAACGATTATTCGTTAATCCGGACATTTTAAAATTCCGGCGATTTCATGGTGAACGGTACGTCGTGACTACTGGATTTCACTTTATATCAACATGTACAGATGATAGTGAAGTACTATCATTCCAGCAAACACAATCCATTATTTTCACATCCAAAAGTCTGTGGACAGCCTATTCTGCGTAAACAGGAACACGACCCGTTAAGATTCCGGGGTATAATAGGTCTTCGGCAACCCATGCTTGCCGTAAAAGCAGACTATGCTTGTCGTAAAAGTTGACTAACGGGAACGGGTGGTCAGGCTCGCTGACTTGCTTGATGCATGTCATCAATCCCAATTGCGTGGATGGATGCTCATGATATTAATCACTATATTGTCTGGTCCAGACTGGATTATTTACAGACCGCCGTCATATAGCTGGAATATTGCTGAGTGCGGCGGTAAAAAACAAACCAGCTAGACAAGAAACACATATACATGTAAATGCTTGATGTGTTCATTCAATGCCATCTCCATGAAGTATAACAGCTGAGTAACCCAGTTCCTAGACAATGCTGAAGACATATGAAGTGATTTAGGGAGATAAATATTCGCCCGCCTCATGATTGAGTGTTAAAGCTCAGGGGACGCCTGCCCGGAAAACACCATCGAATGGTCAGGGTTAATAGAAATAGCTGGCGGAGCGTGAACCGGGCTGATACTAAACCATGTGGACGGGATGAGGATGCAGACTTCCTCAGCCCTGTCACTGAGGGAGAAGGGGATAATACGGTTTCATATCGAGTGTTGGTTTCGTCTGGTGGCTCTATGCAATGTGACGACTTTGTGGTGAAGTGTTGATTTATTTGGGCTTTTTGTGGTTCCTTGATATTGGATGCTTTCTCAAACGGAGTGACAGGAGAGTAATTGGTAACAAAGGCTCTATTGACAGGAAGCCAATATCGAACGCATCATCGTAGAAAATCATCGACATGTGAAATGGGTCTTGACATGTTTCGTAATTCACGTTATTATCTCATGAATTATATATCATCTGACGTTTATATATAGCAACATTCAAAGATTTTTTTTAGATCCACAAAGAGAAGACATAATATGAATTATACATTCTTCAATGATTAGACTGGGGAAATCCTTTATCATCACTCAAATCTATTTTTGATATTTTCAACCTATACTCAGTTTTTCTTTGTTTGTTTGTTTGTTGTTTAACGCCGCCCTATTATTAGGGCTATATGATCAACCTATACCATTGTTTGTTATTCTTAAAGATCACTGATACCCCTAGGCTGAAGTACAAGACATGTCTGAATAGCTTTGCCCAAACAAATTCCAAAATCTAATCTGATGTTTAGCTGATCTTACCTTATACAAATATATGCTCTCTGCCTCATGGCATTCATTCACCTGATGAAGGAGTAAGCATATACTCCGAAACGTTGTGTTTCCTCATAATGAAGAAGTTGATATCCATATACAGAAAACTACGGTTATAACGAACTCAAAAGGACCGCTAATGTCAGTTCGTTGTAGCCGTGGTTCGTTTTATGCATATATACAACATAACTACAGCAAATAGTCGGGACAAAAAAGTAAGTTCGTTATATCCGTCAGTTCGTTATAAGCGTGTTCGTTATAACCGTAGTTTACAGTACTTCTCTTACTTATTGTATCACTTCTAAATGTCTTTGAAAGACCTTATACAAATAGCTGTTGGATGCATGTACATGTACATCATGCGGATGACATTATAATGGATATTGCTATAGTCTGACCACCGTGATGTGTCCATTGCTTCAAAGGACCGCCTCCGTGGTCTTGTGGTAGAGCGTCCGCCCGGAGAGCGGAAGGTCCAGGGTTCGATCCCGGGCCGCGTCATACAAAAAGACGTTAAAAGATTGTACTTGTTGTTACCCTGTCTGGCGCTCGGCATTAAGGGGCTAAAACAAGGACTGGTCGGCTCGGAGTCAGTATACTGTGTCTGAGTGGGGTATTCATGTTAAACTGCGGCATGGTATCTCAGTGAGCTAACACTATAAATCGGCATCAGTCCGGACTAGTACAAGCAGCCACACACACACATACACGTGCATGCACGTCGCTATATAAGTGCAATAATCTTGGACGCGACGTTAAACCCAATTTCGCCTCACCTCACCATTGCTTCAAGTTCAGAAAGACGTAATGACAATGATGCAAACCTTCTGAAACTGTGTCTAACAGAGGGCAGTGTCAATTTGAAGCCAAGGGAGCAATCTACCAGCATCGGTAATGGTGGTGTGAGGTGAACATTGGCTCAAACAGGCAATAAACCAGCCGTCTCTCATCAGCCGGAATAATACCTTATTAGCGTTGACCTTTTGGCGGATTAATTTCCCCGGAAGAGGTAAACCGGCTGTGATTTGTGACAACTGGACTGGGACTTTTGTAATGCCAGTGTACAGTTAATCTAAAACCCGGCGTGGGTGCTTGTCTTCCTGTCAAGTCCTTAAAGTGGATATGTGTTACAATGCACGTCTTAATACACTGGTGTGAGGGTGTGGTATTCATATTGTGTGTGGTAAATTAGATAAAATCGATCGCAGCGACAAAAGTAGACACGATTTGAATTTTAACGTCGGAAAGCCAACCGTTCTCTGTGATGGCTCTGAAGGAATCGAGGCAGCAATAGCCCCATTGTGTGACATTGTCTTGCATTCCTTTCCTCTAAGGAAATTGGAACCTGTTATATCTTTCACTTTCTATTATCGATCGGGGGCGGCCATCGTTCAAGTTGCGTGGTACTTCTCTAAACGACCACCTCGGTTACCGAACTATGGCTTGGATGCGCAAACTGCAAATTGTAAATATGTCGATACAGCTAAACAGCCGAATCTAGGTAATTCGATATATATAACAAATACGTCATATCTTAAGTTTTATAAAGTTCTTCATCGGGAAACAGTATAATATCCTTAGTGCCAGTAGTAGTAGTAGTAGTAGTAGTAGTAGTAGTAGTAGTAGTAGTAGTAGTAGTAGTAGTAGTAGGACCACAACAGTTATCATTGTTATTCTCCTTACCATCACCGGGACCAGCATTTTCGTTAA